CTAGTGTCTCAATGCTGTTGACATCATACCAAAGACATGCTTGTCTAGTGTCTCAATGCTGTTGACATCATACCAAAGACATGCTTGTCTAGTGTCTCAATGCTGTTGACATCATACCAAAGACATGCTTGTCTAGTGTCTCAATCCTGTTGACATCATACCAAAGACATGCTTGTCTAGTGTCTCGATGCTGTTGACATCATACCAAAGACATGCTTGTCTAGTGTCTCAATGCTGTTGACATCATACCAAAAATGCTTGATGTCTCATGCTTGACATCTACTGAAGACAATGTCTCAATGCTGTTGACATCATACCAAAGACATGCTTGTCTAGTGTCTCAATGCTGTTGACATCATACCAAAGACATGCTTGTCTAGTGTCTCAATGCTGTTGACATCATACTGAAGACATGCTTGTTTAGTGTCTCAATGCTGTTGACATCATACCAAAGACATGCTTGTCTATTGTCTCAATGCTGACATCATACCAAAGACATGCTTGTCTAGTGTCTCAATGCTGTTGACATCATACCAAAGACATGCTTGTCTAGTGTCTCAATGCTGTTGACATCATACCAAAGACATGCTTGTCTAGTGTCTCAATGCTGTTGACATCATACCAAAGACATGCTTGTCTAGTGTCTCAATGCAGTTGACATCAGATCAAAGATTTGAGTAGCCTTAATCAAAGTTTATACACCCAGACTAGTGTGATGACCCTGCTTTGCATGGTCTCCACGAGTACATTGTGGCCAGCAGGAAGTCTGTATTACAAGTGACGGCACGAGATACTTGTGGCCGGTGGAGTAAGCGAGGCGAAGCCCGAGCTAGCCTCGTGGTCAGTCGATCATGAGAAGTCAGGGAAGACGGTTGTAGTATTTGAAGATGTCGTCTTTATGTCGGGCAAATGGTTAATGTTCGAATGTGTCACGAGTGAAATAAATGTGAAATAAATGGACCAGAATAAACTGACAGAATGTACAAAGGAGCTGAGTGGCGTTTGTGTTGTCAACCCTAGACGTTGAAGCCGGTGTAAACCAAGGTACATTCCAAGTTGAATCAGAATCATTTCAAGATAGTTGAAAGCGTAACTTCAAGTCTACGTTTTGGTGCATTTCAAGTCAGAGTACAAGCAAGACATACACAGCCTGCAGGGATGGATCAAGATCAAGGATAGTTATTGGAATGAATGGGAATGAAAGAGAATAAAACAGGTATGAATGATGAATGAAAGATTTGTGGGTAGTATTTTAATAGTGTACATGAAGTTTACTTAGGTTAGTAGTTCATTAGGATTATTTTAGGATTCATGTAATAACAGCAGTTCAAAAGTTTTTTTTTTAAAAGGGAAAAAAAAAATCTCTCTCCCCAGGAACAGCACAGAAGAATGGAAATAAGATGTAGAACAATAGATATTATAAGAAAATCTTTCTTCCACAGAATGACTTAGATAAAAAATTCAATTTGAAATGTTTTAGCATAGGTGTACAGCACAGGGACATGGTAAATTTGTCCACGACACCCAAGATTATAAACTGCTATAATTATACTGATGCTGACTAGATGGACTGATGGTAAAGAAAGAGTGCACACATCAAAGCACAAGCACAGTAGAGGAGTTGAACTCATCTGTGTACATCTAAAGGGGGAAAGGTGTCTGAGATTCCTTGGGGTTAACTACCCTGTTAAAGGTGGTTATAGACTTGGAGGAAACTCTAAGATCTATGAAAAATATATCTCAATTATCATTGTTTTCATGTTGGATTCCTTGGAGTTGGGTAATTACTCTGTGAAAGGTGAGACTTTGGTCTATGAAAATATATCTCAACATGCATTTTTTTTTCTGTGGTAGATTCCTTGGGGTTGGGTAATTACCCTGTTAAAGGTGTTATAGAGGCTTTTGGGAAACCGGAAGCACTATGATAAATATATCTCACCACTATCATATCGGCTAAGAGTCCTTGGGGTTAAACACCCTGTGAAAGGTGATGTAGAAATATTGGTTAAATCCAATTTTCTATGTAAATATCTCAAAGCTGACAATCATCTTATCACTATCATATCGGCTAGGAGTCCTTGGGGTTTAACACCCTGTGAAAGGTGATGTAGAAATTTTGGTTAAATCCAATTTTCTATGTAGTAAACATCTCAAAGCTGACATCATCATCACTATCATCATTTCACTTTAAACCCGATAGAGTAGATATAGTGACTAGACAATACTACAGATGCAATAGGTGCAAAGATGAGATACTCTTCACCAGCTCAGTACTAGGAAAAGCATGCAGTAAATATTGAAGGCAGTTTTAAAGGGCAGTTATTGAGGATAATCAGGAACCATAATCCATAGTGGTAATACAATTAAATTGATTTACTATATCTGGTTAAATGAAAATGACACTTGATGTTCCATAAAGTGTCATTTTGTTAAAAAGGGGGGAGAGTGTGATGACCCTGCTTTGCATGGTCTCCACGAGTACATTGTGGCAAGCAGGAAGTCCGTGCTACAAGTGACGGCACGAGATACTTGTGGCCGGTGGAGTAAGCGAGGCGAAGCCCGAGCTAGCCTCGTGGTCAGTCGATCATGAGAAGTCAGAGAAGACGGTTGTAGTATTTGAAGATGTCGTCTTTATGTCGGGCAAATGGTTAATGTTCGAATGTGTCGCGAGTGAAATAAATGTGAAATAAATGGACCAGAATAAACTGACAGAATGTACAAAGGAGCCAAGTGGCGTTTGTGTTGTCAACCCTAGACGTTGAAGCCGGTGTAAATCAAGGTACATTCCAAGTTGAATCAGAATCATTTCAAGATAGTTGAAAGTGTAACTTCAAGTCTATGTTTTGGTTCATTTCAACTAGCCCTTATCAACGGATGTTCTGTCCAGGACACTGAGGTGTGCAGCGTACAGATCAAGGTGATAGACCGGCGGTGCGCTACTTTATGATAAAGCCAACATGGTAAAAGTTCTCTAGGATTAAGCTGACAGTGCAATGGAACAGACAGAGAATGCACACCCTGAATTCAGCAGGAGGGGAGCAGACATTCTGGAGGATATTCACCAATGAGGGAAAACATAGGCACACTTGTAATAAGGTTGCAGTTGGTACTATTAGCATAATATTGGCTACTGAAGAAGGAGAAAAAGCATGCATGCCAATGTCCAGGGTGGAAGTATGTCAATTCCTGATAGAAACCTTTATTTCCTTACCATGTTCAACATCAACAGTAATGATCCCATGTACATACATCACTCACCAATGATGTACCCATGTACATACATACATAACTCACCAACAATGATGCCTCTATGTACATACATCATCACTCACCAACAGTGATGCTCCCATGTACACACATCACTCCCCAACAATGATGCCCCTATGTACACACATCACTCACCAATGATGTACCCATGTACACACATCACTCACCAACAGTGATGCCCCCATGTACATACATACATCACCCACCAACAATGATGCTCTCATGTACATACATACATCACCCACCAACAATGATGCACCCATGTACATACATACATCACCCACCAACAATGATTTACTCATGTACATACATACATCACTCACTAACAATGATTAACACATGTACATACATACATCACTCACCAACAATGATTTACTCATGTACATACATACATCACTCACTAACAATGATTTACTCATGTACATACATACATCACCCACCAACAATGATTTACTCATGTACATACATACATCACCCACCAACAATGATTTACTCATGTACATACATACATCACCCACCAACAATGATGCACCCATGTACATACATACATCACTCACTTAACAATGATTTACTCATGTACATACATTCATCACCCACCAACAATGATGCACCCATGTACATACATACATCACTCACTAACAATGATTTACTCATGTACATACATACATCACCTACCAACAATGATGAACCCATGTACATACATACATCACTCACTAACAATGATTTACTCATGTACATACATACATACATCACTCACCAACAATGATTTACTCATGTACATACATACATCACCCACCAACAATGATGCACCCATGTACATACATACATCACTCACTAACAATGATTTACTCATGTACATACATACATACATCACTCACCAACAATGATTTAATCATGTACATACATACCCACCAACAATGATTTACTTATTACATACATTATCTCCCACCAACAATGATGCATGCATGTACATATATGATAACCCACCAACAATGATTTACTCATAACATACATCATCTCTCACCAAAAATGATGTACTCATGTACATATATCATCTCCCACAAACAATGATTAACTCATAACATACATTATCTCACACCAACAATGATGCATGCATGTACATATATGATTTCCCACGAACAATGATTTACTCATAACACACATCATCTCCCACCAACAATGATGTACTTATTACATACATAACTCACCAACAATGATGCATGCATGTATTTATATTTGATAACCCACCAACAATGATTTACTCATTACATACATCATCTCCCACCAACAATGATGTACTTATTACATACATAACTCACCAACAATGATGCATGCATGTATATATATTTGATAACCCATCAACAATGATTTACTCATTACATACATCATCTCCCATGTAGCAAAGTCAGCCACCCTTGTGACACCCACTAACAATGACATAATCACATACATACATCATCTCCCACCAACAATGACGTAATCATGTACATACATCATCTCCCACCAACAATGACATAATCATGTACACACATCATCTCCCACCAACAATGATGTACAAACAACAGCACCTAGCAAATATGGCACAAATCACTGAAGAATGACGCTCCAACATTGGCTGTCTTTCCAAATAAATAGTGACTCAGCAACCAGCAAAAAAAATCACCATTGAGCAGCCTGCATTCAGAATGTCTATGTGGTCACATTTGTCCAAGCCTACAACTTCCAGGAAGAAATCAAGATAAGATAGCTTTAGGTCGATGCTGTGACCACAAGTGGCCATCAAGAGAGGCAATCCGTCTGCGGTTCTTGCGATGCCACAACCCAAGCTTGTCCTCACAAACGCTGGACAGGGCCTGATGATCAGAGAAACACACAGAGTACAGTTGGATTTCAGATCCTTCTCCAACAGACCAGCCCAGAAAACTGTGTTATTCTCTCACACTTTAAAAAGCATCAACTCAATCATCTGTATACAGTGGTACACATAGGAGACTCAACAACCCAATCATCCCCACATACTGGTACACATAGGAGACTCACCAACCCAATCATCTGCATATACCGGTACACATGGGAGATGTAACAATCCAATCCTCCCTAAATATTTGTATATATAGGAGACCCAAATTCCAATTATCCTCATATACTGGTACACATGGGAGATGTAACAATCCAATCCTCCCTAAATACTTGTATATATAGGAGACCCAAATTCCAATTATCCCCATATACTGGTACACATGGGAGATGTAACAATCCAATCCTCCCTAAATACTTGTATATATAGACCCAAATTCCAATTATCCCCATATACTGGTACACATGGGAGATGTAACAATCCAATCCTCCCTAAATACTTGTATATATAGGAGACCCAAATTCCAATTATCCCAATATACTGGTACACATGGGAGACGTAACAACCCAATTATCCTCATATACTGGAACACATGGGAGATATAACAACCCAATTATCCCCATATACTGGTACACATGGGAGATGTAACAATTCAATCCTCCCTAAATACTTGTATATATAGGAGACCCAAATTCCAATTATCCCCACATACTGGTACACATAGGAGACTTAACAACTCAATCATCCCCATATACTGGTACACATGGGAGATGTAACAACCCAATTATCCCCATATACTGGTACACATGGGAGATGTAACAATCCAATCACCCCCATATACTGGTACACACAGGAGCCTCATGGCTAGCACATACATGACAAACATCTCAAGGCTAGCACATACATGACAAACATCTCAAGGCTAGCACATATATGACAAACATCTCATGGCTAGCACATACATGACAAACATCTCATAGCTAGCACATACATGACAAACATCTCATGGCTAGCACATATATGACAAACATCTCATGGCTAGCACATATATGACAAACATCTCATGGTTTGCACATACGTGGCAAACATCTCATGGCTAGCACATATATGACAAACATCTCGTGGCTAGCACATACGTGACAAACATCTCAAGGCTAGCTCATACATGACAAACATCTCATGGCTAGCACATATATGACAAACAGGTTTTTAATAGCACATATATGACAAACATCTCATAGCTAGCACATATATGACAAACATCTCATGGCTTAGCACATATATGACAAACATCTCATAGCTAGCACATATATGACAAACATCTCATGGCTAGCACAAATATGACAAATATCTAGTAGCTAGCACAGATATGACACACAGTTTATGGATAGCACATATATGACAAACATCTCATAGCTAGCACATATATGACAAACATCTCATAGCTAGCACATATATGACAAACATCTCATAGCTAGCACATATATGACAAACATCTCATGGCTAGCACATATATGACAAACATCTCATGGTTTGCACATATATGAGTAACATCTCATGGTTTGCACATATATGACAAACATCTCATGGCTTGCACATATATGACAAACATCTCATGGCTAGCACATATATGAGAAACATCTCATGGTTTGCACATATATGACAAACATCTCATAGCTAGCACATATATGAGAAACATCTCATGGTTTGCACATTTATGACAAACATCTCATGGCTAGCACATATATGAGAAACATCTCATGGTTTGCACATAGATGACAAATATCTTATCTCTAGCATAGATATGATACACATCTAATTTTTAGAAGATATATGACAAATATCTCACTTTGAGCACAAAAATTTAACACATATCTCACCTCTAGCACAAATGTCTTACCTCTAGCAAAAATATCTCATCTCTAGCACAAATATCTCACATCTAGCACAAATGTCACACCTCTAGCACAAATATTTCACCTCTAGCACAAATATCTCACCTCTAGCACAAATAGTACACCTTTAGCAAAAATATCTCACCTCTAGTCCAAATATCTCACCTCTAACACAAATATCTCACATCTAGCACAAATATCTCACCTCTAGCACAAATATCTCACCTCTAGCACAAATATCTCACCTCTAGCACAAATATCTCACCTCTAACACAAATATCTCACATCTAGCACAAATATCTCACCTCTAGCACAAATATCTCACCTCTAACACAAATATCTGACCTCTAGCTCAAATATCTCACCTCTAGCACATTTATCTCACCTTTACAACAAATATCCCACTTCTAGGACAATTATGACAAACATCTCACCTCTAGGACAGGTGTGACAAATATCTCACATCTAACACAAATATCTCACCTCTAGGACAGGTGTGATAAATATCTCACCTCTAGGACAGGTGTGAAAAATATCTCACCTTTAACACAAATATCTCACCTCTAGGACAGGTGTGACAAATATCTCACTTCTAGGACAGGTGTGATGAATATCTCACATCTAATACAAATATCTCACCTCTAGGGCAGGTGTGACAAATATCTCACCTCTAGGACAGGTGTGACAAATATCTCACCTCTAGGACAGGTATGACAAACATCTCACCTGTAGGACAGGTGTGACAAATATCTCACCTCTAACACAAATATCTCACCTCTAACACAAATATCTCACCTCTAACACAAATATCTCACCTCAAACACAAACATCTCACCTCTAACACAAATATCTCACCTCTAACACAAATATCTCACCTCTAACACAAATATCTCACCTCTAACACAAACATCTCACCTCTAGAATAATTATGACAAACATCTTACCTGTAGGACAGGTGTGACAAATATCTCACATCTAACACAAACATCTCACCTCTAGAACAATTATGACAAACATCTTACCTGTAGGACAGGTGTGACAAATATCTCACATATAACACAAACATCTCACCTCTAGAACAATTATGACAAACATCTTACCTGTAGGACAGGTGTGACAAATATCTCACATCAAACACAAACATCTTACCTGTAGGACAGCTGTGACAAATATCTCACCTATAGGACAGGTATGAGAAATATCTGACCTCTAGGACAGGTGTGACAAATATCTCACCTATAGGACAGTTATGAGAAATATCTCCTCTAGGACAGGTGTGACAAATATCTCACCTATAAGACAGGTGTGACAAATATCTCACCTTTAGGACAGGTGTGACAAATATCTCACCTATAAGACAGGTGTGACAAATATCTCACCTTTAGGACAGGTGTGACAAATATCTCACCTATAGGACAGGTATGAGAAATATCTCACCTCTAGGACAGGTGTGACAAATATCTCACCTATAGGACAGGTGTGACAAATATCTCACCTATAGGACAGGTGTGACAAATATCTCACCTCTAGGACAGGTGTGACAAATATCTCACCTATAGGACAGGTGTGACAAATATCTCACCTCTAGGACAGGTGTGACAAATATCTCACCTATAGGACAGGTGTGACAAATATCTCACATCTAACACAAACATCTTACCTGTAGGACAGGTGTGACAAATATCTCACCTATAGGACAGGTGTGACAAATATCTCACCTCTAGGACAGGTGTGACAAATATCTCACCTCTAGGACAGGTGTGACAAATATCTCACCTATAGGACAGGTGTGACAAATATCTCACCTCTAGGACAGGTGTGACAAATATCTCACCTATAGGACAGGTGTGACAAATATCTCACCTATAGGACAGGTGTGACAAATATCTCACCTATAGGACAGGTGTGACAAATATCTCACCTATAGGAGAGGTGTGACAAATATCTCACATCTAACACAAATATCTCACCTCTAGGACAGTTGTGACAAATATCTCACATCTAACACAAACATCTTACCTGTAGGACAGGTGTGACAAATATCTCACATCTAACACAAACATCTTACCTGTAGGACAGGTGTGACGAATATCTCACCTCTAGGACAGGTGTGACAAATATCTCACCTATAGGAGAGGTGTGACAAATATCTCACATCTAACACAAATATCTCACCTCTAGGACAGGTGTGACAAATATCTCACATCTAACACAAACATTTTACCTGTAGGACAGGTGTGACAAATATCTCACATCTAACACAAACATCTTACCTGTAGGACAGGTGTGCCAAATATCTCACATCTAACACAAACATCTCACCTGTAGGACAGGTGTGACAAATATCTCACAACTAACACAAACATCTTACCTGTAGGACAGGTGTGACAAATATCTCACCTATAGGACAGGTGTGACACATATCTCACCTATAGGACAGGTATGAGAAATATCTCACCTCTACTACAGATGTGATAAATATCTCACCTCTACTGTAGATGTGACAAATATCTCCCCTCTACTACAGATGTGACAAATAAATCCCCTTTACTACAGATGTGACAAACATCTCCCCTCTACTACAGATGTGACGAACATCTCACCTCTAGTCTCAAAGCTCTTTCCTTGTCTAGGGGTTCTGGTGGGTAGACAATGTCATGGGCATCTGCCAGAGCACGCAGATCAAAGTAGTACTTGGCATAAACACTGGACGGCACGTTGATGTTGAACTGCAGCAATTCCAGCACTTGTCTCTCTAATTCATTCCTGCACAATCAAACAAGACAATCAATTCTACTAAACAACCAGACAGATACAAGCCAATCGATACCGTTAAGTAATCACACAGGATAATTGAAACAGCTACATAATCCCACACAAGACAGAATGCGGTACACAGTACAGAGATAGAAGGACAAAAGACAGAATGCAGCACACAGTACAGAGATAGAACAAAAAACAGAATGCAGCACACAGTACAGAGATAGAGGGACAAAAGACAGAATGCAGCACACAGTACAGACATAAAAGGACAAAAGACAGAATGCAGCACACAGTACAGAGATAGAAGGACAAAAGACAGAATGCAAAACATGGCAGAGACAAGACACCAGACAGAATGCTGAACACAGTACGGACATAGAAGGACAGAGACTGTACGCAGCACACAGCACAGAGATTGAAGGATACAAGACAAAATGCAGCACACAGCACAGAGATTGAAGGATACAAGATAGAATGTAGCACACAGCACAGAGATTGAAGGATACAAGATAGAATGAAGCTTACAGCACAGAGATTGAAGGATACAAGATAGAATGCAGCACACAGAAAAGAGATTGAAGGATACAAGATAGAATGCAGCAGACAGCAAAGAGATTTAAGTGTGCAAGAAAGAATGCAGCACACAGCACAGAGATTGAAAGACAGAGACGGAATGCCGCACATAGCACAGAGATTAAAGGATACAAGATAGAATGCAATATAATGCTGCACACAGCACAGAAATTGAGGGATAAAAGATTTAATACAGCACACAGCACAGAGATTGAAGGATACAAGATAGAATGCAGCACACAGCACAGAGACTGAAGGATACAGGACAGAATTCAACACACAGCACAGAGATTGAAGGATACAAGATAGAATGCAGAAAACAGCATAGAGATTAAAGGATACCAGATATAATGCAGCATACGATATGCAGACAGAAGGATACAAGATATAATGCAGCACATGATATGCAGACAGAAGGATACAAGATAGAATGCAGCACACGATATGGAGACAGAAGAATACAAGATAGAATGCAGCACACAATATGGAGACAGAAGGACAGAGACAGAATGCAGCACACAGCACATAGATTAAAGGATACATGACCTACAACAACAAAAAAACAGAAAAGACTAATGCTGGTACTTGAACTCACATGTCATCCACCTGAATGTCCTTGAGAATCTGGCAGAAGTCGACATTCCACACAGCCTGGTCATCCCACACCTTGGAGGCCAGAATGATGGCTCCCAGCACCATGCGCTTCCAGTTGCCAGGATGGATGTCAATCTCCGAGTAGGTCAACAGACGCTCCAGGTAAACCTGCAATATGACCACACAAGAACCCTGGTCAGGAGTGTACGCACATGTAGCTATCTGGAAAATACAGGTATATGAGTCACCCACCTGCCTCAACAATATAACACAATGGGACAGCATAGGACAGCACATACAAATGGGAGAACAATTCAACATGGGACAGCACATACAAATGGGAGAACAATTCAACATAGGACAGCAAATACAAATGGGAGAACAACACAACATGGGACAGCACATACAAATGGGAGAACAACACAACATGGGACAGCACATACAAATGGGAGAACAATACAACATAGGACAGCACATACAAATGGGAGAACAACACAACATGGGACAGCACATACAAATGGGAGAACAACACAACATGGGACAGCACATACAAATGGGAGAACAACACAACATGGGACAGCACATACAAATGGGAGAACAATACAACATGGGACAGCACATACAAATGGGAGAACAATACAACATGTGACAGCAAATACAAATGGGAGAACAACACAACATGGGACAGCAAATACAAATGGGAGAACTATACAACATGAAAGAGCAATACAACATGGGAGAGCAATATAAAATGAGAAAGCAATACAATATGAGGTAACAATACAACATGGGAGAGCAATATAAAATGAGAAAGCAATACAATATGAGGTAACAATACAACATGGGAAAACAATACAACAAAGGAGAACAATACAACATGATAGAACAAAAAAAAAAATGGAGAACAGAACATGGGAGAACAATACAACATGGAAGAACAATACAACATGGGAAAATAATAAAATATGGGGGAACAATACAACATGGGGAAACAATACAACATGGTAGAACACTACAGCATGGGGAGAATAATACAATATGGGCGAATAATACAACATGGTAGAACAATACAACATGGGGGAACAATACAAAATGAGAGAACAAAACAACATAGGCGAACAATACAACATGAGAGAACAATACAGCATGGGGAGAACAATACAACATGAGAGAACAATACAGCATGGTAGAATCTAGCAACTCACCAATGTGACAATAGCACATTCGGCTGTGAGCTGAGCAGCATTAAAGAGACTTCTGACAAACCGGTAAATAATCTTGTGCTCTGGGTCTCGCTTCTGGTAGTCGTCAGGAACTACATCTTTCTACAACCACAAAATACTATATTTGTCACTAGTCACAAACAAATCATAGAATATAACATTCTACACTGTTTCACACACATGTAAATACACACAGTCACACACACATACACTCACTCACTCACTCACATACAAACCACAGAATACAATATTTATCACTAGTTTCACACACATATACACACACAAACCACATAATACAACATTCTTCACTGGTTTGCACACACACAC